CGCTATGGTTGCAGGCTGTCCACATACTCAAGCAGACTTGTCACTGTGTCAGTACAACTTTTGAAAATTCTCTTTGTAACAAGAAGGGATATATATTTATATTTACACAAACACTTAGTTTTTGGAGCACAAGCTGGCTGTTCCATTCAACCCCAGCCCACTTCGTTTAATTGTTGTACCACAGTGTTTTGTTTTACATGTGACCCACATGCCAGAGAAGTCAAAGCATGAGTGCACCAGAGTTCTACAACCTTGCTTTTAACTCTGATGGGCCTGAGCCAACGCCTGTGCTCAGCGAGGCACGTCCCAGGGTTTGGGGGGGTTGAAATACAGATCTGATTTACAGCCCAAGTTCCATCTCTTGTTTTTTGATGGCTGTCCTTATGTTACTACACCCAAATGGCTGCTATTAAACAGAGAGAGCGGTTAGCCAGAGAATCCAATTCTGCCCTTAGACTTCAGTGGGAATTGCACACATGTGTCTGAAGATCAAATTTAGCCCATATAGAAGATGCAGCAGTTGGTGGCAGGGCCGATCTAGTTATCGTACTTATCAGCTCTCCAATACTGTAGTTATCTGAGCACTTCACAGTCCTTGATATTGTTATTCTCACAACATCCCTGCGAGTTAGAGTAGTTGTAACAAGGTGGCCTGCTCCTCTAAAGGCCAGAGGGTGCCAGCCCTGTTCCATTATCACACCCAGCTGGGAAGGGATCAGGTGATCCCTGTAAAGGGCTGAAAGGGGCTCATTGAGAAGAAAACTACAGAAAGCGAACAGGCTTCTGTGGCAGGCCTCGGAACAGAGGGTGAGGCCTTTGTTGTCTGCTTTGGTCAAGGGACTAGCTTTGTTTGGTGAGTTTTGTGTTTGAATAATAAAGTGAGGAAGAGGGCCTATTCCAGACTCTGGGCAGGGTGTCAGGCCAATGGGCTACGGAAATGCTGCTGTTATGCCCCTTTTACAGATGGTAAATTGAGGCCTACAGAGGCTAGGCGACTTGCCTGAGCTCTCACAAGACATCTGTGGTAGAGCAGGGATTTGAACCTAGCTCTCCCACTTCTTAAACTAGGAGCCTAGCTACTAAACTAGCCTTTAATGATTCTGCCTTTATCTAATCCTGGCCCCCTGCAGCTATGTCTCTATCTGCTTCCCAGGGCTAAGCAAGCAGGGGTTTTTTGGAGTCTCATGTCTTTGGTGGATTCAGTCCATATTGAGCTGTTATGAGTCAAATTCATCCCTGCTATGAGCAGGACCAACACCCCATGAAGGCAGTGGAGTTAAACCTGAATTTGTTCCCATCTGCCCTTGTTTGCAGGGGGCTAAATGCTTCTCTGTTAAAACCTGTACAACTCCATTGACATAAGGGGGGTTGCTGGGGGGGAGGGGGTGCGCAGGGTTATAGCAGACTTTGTTCTGGACTCCCAGGGAATTAATGAGAGGCTGGGGGTGGGGGTGGAAAACTTTGTTCCAATGAACTTTAAAACATTATTGTTCACTCACTCACTTCCCTCCCCCCCCCTTTTCCCCATCTCCTTGGACCCCTCCCATAATCAACCTGCTATGTTAATTATTATTTCCGGTGATGTGGAGCTTAACATGATTACTACAATCAGCCAAAGAGTGTGACCTTCCCCCCCCACCCCAACGTCTGAAACATTTGCTGTAGTTACTGTGCTGTATTGCAGCACCGCGGCTCTCCCTCTCAATGGAGGGAGGGGATTCTAATGATGAGTGCTGGTTAGAACAGTATTTCTGTGGGGGAAAAAATTGAAGCTGTCTTTAATTCAAAGGGTTTGAAACAGACCCAATTATAATTCATTTACTGCAAATAAAAGTCTGGGACCCAAAGACCCCAGATCTAGGCCTCTGTGTGCTGTGCAGACAAAAATGAAGAGACTAATCTAGTCGATCTTTCTATTATAATAAAAAATTATTGGAGTAGCACTGAGGAACAAACCCCAGTCAAGGATCAGGGCCCCGTCGTGGTAGGGCTCTGCACAGACAATAAACACTCTTTGCTTCAGAGACAATACAATCTTATGGATTTTCGCACATTACAATGACTTGGGATACTAAATTTATTATCCTATGCACACCTGTAAAACAAACACTGAATGTAAAATAATGTAAGAAACTGCTACAGAGTGTGAGTTAGCCCTTATACCCCAGCTACACACCCATTCCCCCCAAAAAACAATTGTATAGCTATCTATATTCCATAACGTGGAGTTGTTCAGCACATATTTAGGATGGGCTTATCAAAAGCGGTGGACATCTTTAAAAGTCAGCTATTGACTTCAGTGGAAGCAATGAGTTGGCTAGTGCTGGCAGCCTTGGAAAATCCCATCCTGCTTAGAGCTATCTTGTAGGTCTCATTTCGACAGTCAAACTTGGTTCATTCTGATAGCTGGATGTTTTGCTGATGAGAACGTGAGACGGGAAGCAAATGGTATCCGGTCACATTTTAGTGGCTTGGCAGCCTGGCTTCTTCAGATAACATAATCCATTTGAAAATGAATGTTGATTTGATGAACTGGGTGAGAACGCACTTAGCAAACAATTTCACTTGATTGCTACACTCCGCTTCCAGCAACCAGTGGATAGGATCACATACAGCTAGGAGCGCTCCAGTGCAGGGAAAACATGGTACCAATGAAATAACCTTATGTGTTCACAGTTAACATTTTTATTTGTTCCCACTCAACTAGAGTTCAACATCTGCCTCAATATACAACCCGCACTAGCGCTGGAGATTTAACTTTTCCACCATTTGCCTCTATCAGTTCATGGTGAAGCAGTTTGGGCTCAGTAGTACCACGGGCTGAACACTCATCTTCCAATGAGGGTGCTCAGCACTTGGGGGCTAAGCCGTGTGGGCTACAGTCCTGCAATCCAGGGCTAAGCGCCCATAAAGTTCAATGAGACCAGTATTTAGCCCTTTGTTGTGCTGGGCCGAACCTTGAGTCAGTGAGGCCCTCAGCTCTCACTGAAGTCAATGGGAATGGCAGATGCTCAGCATTGGGCCCAATAAATCTATAGTGCTTCTAAATTCCTTGAGGGGAAATATTTTCCCCAGTAAGTGACCATGATGCATAGGCTGCTCTCAGTGGTGAGGAGTGTGTGTGTGTGTGTGTATGGCTGGGAGAGGAGGGCTGTGAACGAGCCCAGCAGACCTGAGTACAACCTGACTAGTGGTGTAGGATGGATCACTATGGGAAGTTAGGGTCAAAGTTGAAAGCCAATACCTTGAAGGCTTCAGTGGAAGCACTGAAGGCCAAGTACTTCTGTTACGTTACTGCACCTTCAGCCGTGACACACCAATATAGCTGAGAGGAGAATGGGATCTTTAACCTCCACTCTTGTAACAGGCAGGGCACAGAGAACAAGTGAGTCCCTAAGGAGGGACTACATGTTAATGCCCAAAAGGATGGCACTCGTTGGGGCACAACTGTGCAGAGCTTTATGGTGGAGCTTGACGACGAGCCTATTTCGTTCAGAATAAATTTCCGAGAATGGTTCTTTGTTCTCAGTCTAGTGTAGGAAGCATGACGCTTTTATTCGCTATGTATAAAGCCATGTGTTTAGAATGCCGTTACTAGCGCTGAACTGAAGCCTGAGGTCTGGTGGAGCATCTCTGGTTCCAGTTTCTTCCAGGAGTGCCTTACAAAGGCTCCTCTGTAAAACAAACAAAGCCCAATGTAATTTTTTTTATTTTACAATGAATAGGTAAGCTCATGAATGTATGCCCTTACCTCCCCCAACCCATTTTGGCTGAGTCCATTAGAACAGTCCAAAGTACAAGGAAAGTGAATACAAACTATGTAATGAAGGGGTAAGTATTTAAAGGTACTATCCTGTAGTCCATAGTCAGCAAAAACTCCCTTTAATTTCACACTGTGGTGCATTCTCTGTTTTAGTTGTATGACATCTTTCAATGTGTAAATATGCTGCCTCCAGAGAAAGGCAGCCATTTTGGTGCAGTCTGTCTGAGGAGAGACATACACTGTATGCTCTTTCATGGATTTTTGTTCTTGGTTTTTTTCCCTTGATATAAAACAAGGATAGTTCTGGCTAAAAGTATAAGGTAGCATTTTTGTCTATGGAAAATATTATACAAAGCAATGGGAGATTGTCCTGAGTAAGGACTGCAGGATTAGGCCCAAGGACCTTATAATTAGCATCACTTAGGCCAGGTCTGTGCACTGCTTTTGCACGGGTATAACTGTCAGGGGAATTATTATTATGGTTTTATCAGTACAGTTACACTGGTACAACCCCTAGTGTGGATGCCATTATACCGGTATAAAGGTGCCTTATAGCTTATGCCCCTTTGCATACAGAAATAAACACCTTTAGACTGGTATAATTGGGCCCATTCTAGTGAGGTTGTACTGGTTTTATTATAACAGCATAATTAAAGTTGTATAACACAGGTGGGTGCACAAGCCCTTAATTAAGATGGGATTACTAGAAACTTGTTGTTGGTTCTCAGTGTTGTCGTGCATCTTGAGTACCTAAAATCCTGTCTGCTAGGACAGCTGACTGCCTCATACTTTATACAAAGACAGCAGGGAGCTGATTTTAAATTCCTAATGGTATGAAAATGCTGATATGTGTATTTTAAAGTCTCCCACAGGAGAGTGGCTATAAAATTCAGTATTGACCTGTCGCAGCTTATTCAAGTGGAAATCACATAAGACTAGATGTTAGGAGCACCCAAGTTCTAGTCTCTCTGCCTCTGCCTCAAATGTGTAGCTTTGGGCGGTTGCAATCCAGCTAGGGCCAAATTCAAGCATTCCTACTGAGTTAGCTTGACAAGGGCATGGGGGCCTTGAAGATCAGAGCATGGTTTCTAAACATGGAGACTGTATAGGTATACATACCACTATCCTCATTGAAATACCCAGCTGCCCTGTGATTCTTTGATCCTTAACGTTTCCAGAGGCACCTGCTCTGGGAAATGCCCCATCATCCTGATTAACCCAGCAACTGTAGATGTCTCTAACTGAGTTCTACTGTATTTCTTAGAAATATTGTAGTACCTTGTTTTCCAGGACTCCATTTTGGTTTCCTCCTGAGATTTTGCAAAGAAGCTAGACGCAGACATTTTTTCTGAACAAATGAATAATAATGACCATGAATACAAAAGAACATAGCCCTGCATACTTAATGTATCCACACTTGGTTAGGAGACAACTGGGTCCCTGCACCAGGCCTTGAGACCTGAGGCTCATAGACTTTAAGGTCAGAAGGGACCATTATGATTGTCTAGTCTGACCTCTTGCACAACGCAGGCCACAGAATCTCACCCACCCACTCCTGTATCAAACCTATGTCTGAGCCACTGAAGTCCTCAACTTGTGGTTTAAAGACTTCAAGGTGCAGAGAATCTTCCAGCAAGTGACCCGTGCCCCATGCTGCAGAGGAAGGCGAAAACCCCCCAGGGCTTCTGCCAATCTGCCCTGGAGGGAAATTCCTTCCCGACCCCAAATATGGCGATGAGCTAAACCCTGAGCATGTGGGCAAGACTCACCAGCCAGACACCCAGGAAAGAATTCTCTGTAGTAACTCAGATCCCACCCCATCTAACATCCCATCACAGGCCATTGGGCATATTTACTGCTAATAGTCAAAGATGAATTAATTGCCAAAATTAGGCTATCCCATCAGACCATCCCCTCCATAAACTTATCAAGCTCAGTCTTGAAGCCAGATATGTCTTTTGCCCCCACTACTCCCCTTGGAAGGCTGTTCCAGAACTTCACTCCTCTGATGGTTAGAAACCTTCGTCTAATTTCAAGTCTAAACTTCCTGATGGCCAGTTTATATCCATTTGTTCTTGTGTCCACATTGGTACTGAGCTTAAATAATTCAGCTCTGTCCTTGCTACAGCATAACCCTAATCACACTCCCCATGCTGTATGTATGTATTGGGAAGTGAAGGGGGATGAAGAGGAGGAGTACCTTGCAGGATCTGACCTAGAGTCAAGGGGCCTGACTCATAGTTACTCCATTACTGCATTTGAGGCAGGGATGGGAGGGAGAGTAAAGGAGGTTTTAAGCCATCTTTGACACCTCTGTATTCCGGGGCTATGCAGGAGCTTGTCCATGGTCCCTTATGAACCCTGGGAAGCAGGCAATAGCCATGCGCCTGGTCACACTGCAGATCCCCCTCCTACACCAGGGGATGGGAATACAGCTGTGCAGAAACCTTATGCCAGCTCTATACTGGCTCTGCTCAGGGGCTTTCCTTTGGGGGCTGTTTGCACCCCCTTTGAGGCCCCTTCGTGCTGTCCGTAGTGTGAAAGGCCCTTAGCATATCTGAGAGTCAAGCCCAGTGTGATTGGCCAGACCAGATTCTCAGTTAATTTAAAATAGGCATAGCCCCATTGACTTCAATGGATCTATGCCAGTCGGCACCTATGAGTCACAGCTGCAAGACTAGACCCTAAATACTAAGTGCTGATTCCCCACTTTGTTACACCAGCTTTACATTGGTGTAACTTCCCCCAAATTAGGCAGAAGACAGATGTTGTGGAGGGCAGAGTCAGGCAGTGTCAATCCAGAGTAATTCCATTAAAGTCAGTGGAACATAGGACTGGAAGAGCCCTCCAGGGTCATCAAGCCCAGCCCCTTGCTACCACAGGCAACCCATCCTATAACCCTGTTCGTAAGCTTATCAAGCTCCATCTTAAAACTAGTTAGGTGGTTTGCCCTTCCTACTGCAAGGCTGTTCTGGAACCTCACTCCTGTGATGGTTAGAAAACTTCTTCTAATTTCCAGCCTGAATTTATTCATGGCCAATTTATACCCATTTGTTCTTGACAGACAACACTGCCCTTCAGCTTAAATAGTAGTGAAGTTCTGCTGGACTGACATGAATGTAAACAAAAATGGAATCTGGTCGTTTGTCTGCTCCATGCCCAGTTCAGGGCTGCGCATGCTGCCAGCTCTCAATAAGTAGGAATAACAGAAGAGACAGGTGTGACTGTGAGCTGAAGTATCATTGGTCTCTAGACTGAGGTTGTCTAAAGTCCAGCTGTCCCCATAGGCGCCGACTTCCCCTCTGCCCGGTAGGTGCTCAACCCCCCCGCCCTTGGCCCCGCCTCTTCCCGCCCCTGCACCGCCCTTGCCCCGCCCCCATTCCACCCCTTCCCCAAAGTCCCCACCCCTTCCCATGCCCATTCCACCCCCTTCCCCCAAATCTCTGCCTCTTCTCCGCCTCCTCCCCGAATGTGCCGCGTACCTTCTCCTCCCCCTCCCTCCTGGAAAGTTCTAAGCGCCACCAAACAGCTGTTAGGTGGCGGGAGGGAGGGGGCGGGAAGCGCTGGGAGGGAGGGGGAGGAATGGGGATGCGGCGCGCTCGGGGGCGGGAAAGGAGGCGAGGAGGGGGAGCTTGGCTGTCAGTGGATGCAGAGCACCCGCTAATTTTTCCCCGTGGGTGCTCCCGCCCCAGAGCACCCACGGAGTCGGCACCTCTGGCTGTCCCCAGCACCCCTTCACTGTCCACCGTCACCAAGAGTGTGCAGCGGAGTACGTAGCATTTCTCACCTCGTGCTTCCTTAGAGTCGGACCTGGGAGGAGGATATTGCACTGGGAACAGGTCACCAACACATCGTAAGTCATTGGGTCTTCAAGAGCCTTAGGCAGTACGGGATCCACTGTGGCAGTGAAAGCAGGGCGCCCTGCTGACTTTTTGTTCTTCAGTGGCTTGAGTGAGGGCCTGGAGGCAGAAGATAAGTCCTTTTCCTTCCGCTTCGGGCGAACGTCCTTCCACGCCACGGCTGCATTCTCACGGGGGGTAGACGTCACCAGAGAGGAAGGTGGGAGCGGGCGGGATTTTGTAACTGACTGGCTGGCGAGAATATCCGCGAGTTTGGAGAGTGGGCTGCACTCAGTCTGTGGCGGGCAGTTAAAAAGAATAATGAGAGAACAAAGGAAATAGCCAGATGGTGAACCAATGATGGGTGCCCTTGATGGTGTTGGGGAAAAGGTATAGTCTGCACAGCGATTTAATATAAGAAAGAATTAAAAACATCAGAATGAGATAATGGGAGACTAAACGCCAATAAAGATGGAGGTCTTAAAAAATAGTGGGGAGGGAGAAAGGTTCTACAAAACCGACTACAACTAAAAGTCCCCTCTGGGGTGAGGGAGTCAGTGTTTGCAGGTGGTTTACAAAGAGAGGAGGATGGAGTCCAGGTAGATGCTCCAATGGGGAGTGAGGTTCTCATTAGAAGCTTCTGCAGCAAAGGCACCATCAAACTGGCTCAAAGGTTAGTGGCAGCCCTTTCAGAACAGAGACCCCTCAGGGCAACAGAGCAGGCCTACGTTCTTCAGGGCTTTATTAACCAGTCTATCTCAATGTGCCACTGCCTAGGCAGTGTGTGAGAAGGATGCAGGGGGCATGTAATGTCACAGCTGTTTGCATTCTGCATCAGCAGTGAGAGGCTAAGAGCCCTGCCAAACAAGGACTGGTGCTAACGGCCAAGCTCGTGGTCACAAGGGCATGTGTAGCTGTTGCCAGCTGGCCGTGGGATAGCAATGGCTGTGCAAACTGAGCAGCCAAAACATGTCCTACCGAATCCAACAGGTGGCTTTCGACAGAAAAGGCCTGGCTTGAATGAGGCCCAAGCTCTTTGCAGGTTTAGTTCCCAAACCACTTACCAGGTGTTGGAGGTACTGGTCATCTGGGAAGTACTTATTGCACTGCTGACAAAGATTGTCACTGAGACCTTCAGAGGAAAAAGGGAAAGAGATCTATTGGTAATGCGCAGCGCTGGCACGAGTCAGTAAAATACCGTACCCAGGCTCCTCAAACTCAGGTCACGCTGACCAGTCCTAGAGGCACCTGATCCAAACACCACTGAACTTCAAGGGACCAGAGCCTCAGGCAGATATGGATCTGGATTTCACTGTTGGCCCCTATTGAATAAACTCAAGATCTGACCTTCCCTCCCTGCTGAACTTTGGAGTGGTTGAAATCTGAGTCTGGATCCACATTTCGCACCTCAGGCCCATCTCTACTTAGTGCTATGCTACGAAGGATTGTATATTTCCCAGTGAGTACGTTCTTGCTCTCTATCCCCCATTGTTCTTCGTGGTGCCTACCAATGATTCTGAGGAAGGACACTGTTCACAAATGATCACCCACTTATCCTGTCACCCTCTGGTCAGGCCTCTTCTCTTACCCACCAGAAAACCGTCCACAGCCCCAAGGGACCATGATGCTATTGAACACTTCAGTAATGTGCCTGGCTGTTGACACGTCAGTAGGAAGAAAGCCCATCTCAAATGTGCTACTTTTAAAGGTCACTGTACCAGGCTGGCAACATGGACTCTAAATACGCTACCAGTTGCTGAAGCTGGTGGGAAAGACTTACGTGGGTTTTGCTTCTCTGCTCGCTCTCTATCTATCTATCTATCTATCTATCTATCTATCTATCTATCTATCTATCTATATATGAGGGAGGTGGCAGTGCCTGGCTCGAAGAGCAGTCATGCTTGAAGATTAAGCCAAACCCCAGGAAGGGGGTGAATTTGTTGCGCTTTAGTGAGTGTGTTTGCAAAGGTGCTCATTTAGTCACTCTCGGCAGTTTGCAGTAGAAGTAGGATTGTTATGTCAACTTAATCAGATTGGTTTAATGGGATTGGGGTCCCTGCCAGAGAGAGAACTCTGTCCTCCAGTTCTTGCACACCCAAAATTGCCCTTCAAACAAACAGGAATTTGGGGGGAAATAAGGAATGGTTGATCAGGCCCTAAAATGTCACTCTAGCTGAAAAAGTGTGATTCTTATTTACACTAAGGCCCCTTTACATTGCCAGGGGCCTCTTGTAGACAAAAATAAGGCCCAATGTTTCTGAGTGATGCCACTGCACATGCAGAGCAACTCCACTGACATCAACAGAGCTGCTCTGGATTGACAATTGTGGATGTAATTCAGAGCAGAACTTGGCCCTTTAGCTGTGGCTGGTTAGACAAGAACCCCTTGTGGGGACTTTCACACTATACAGGGCAACCTGGATTATCAAGAGTCCTAGAGAATTGTGAATACCGTAATTACAGATAACTGGGAGTTTCCAAAGCAACAGGTGCTGGAGTGACGTGACCCTGTTACAGATCATGAGGGATTTTGGGTACCTGAGGGTGGGAGAATCGAGGTTTGACGAGCAGACTCCTCACTGGGTTGATAGTGCATCTCACCATTGCTTGATAGCTTCTTGCCATTCTGACAAACGTCTTTGTGCTTGTCCAAGTCCTTGTACATGATGTATTTGTTACATTCCCAACAGAGCTCCGTGCGACTACCGCAGGCCTCCTGGTGCCTCTGCAGCTTATTGAAGGGCATTTCCAGCTTGCAGAATATGCATTTCATTGATCGCTCATTACATTCATTGGACTGCATGTGGGCAGAGAAAATTATTGCAAATAGTAAATCAAAGCCGAAAGCATAAGGATGTTGGGCTGCAGCAATCGCTGCCAGCTCTGAAAATGTCCCCGCTAACCATAGGCACCAACTTCTCCTGGCGCTGGTGGGTGCTCGACCCTCCCACCCCCGCCCTGACTCCACCCCTGCCGCGCCCCCATTCCAACCCCTTCCCCAAAGTCTCCGCCCCCTCCCTGCCCCTATTGGACCCCTAAATCCCCGCCCCCGCCTCCTCCCCTGAGCGCGCCGCATTCCCGCTCCTCCCCCCCCCCCACAGCTTGTTACGCCGCAAAACAGCTGTTTTGCGGTGGCAAGCGCTGGGTGGAGAAGCAGGGATGCTGCGCGCTCTGGGGAGGAGGCGGAGGTGAGGTGAGCTGGGGCAGGGGGGGTGGGGAGCTCCCAGTGGATGCAGAGCACCCATCAATTTTTCCCTGTGGGTGCTCCAGCCCTGAGAGCACCCACAGAGTCGGCATCTATGCTGCTAACTTCTCAATCCTCATCTTGTTCCACATCTCCTTCCTAACCATTCCCACCGTCTGCTTCTCCCACCTCAGCATTGCACCTTCTTGCAGGTCATCCCTATGCTTAGAACGGCCTCTCACTTTTCAAAGCCGCCTCCCTGGAATTGTGAGAGATGTGAGCTTGGACGGCAGGGCAGAAGTGCCACTGTCCATGAAAAGAGTGGGCCCCATGAGATGTGCAGAGGTCATAGACTCTCCTAGACAATCCCTGCAAAACTACATGGGAAGAGGAGGGTAGGGACAGTGCGCACCATGCTTATTTAAATGTAAAATGTTCTGTTAAATTAAACTAAGGAACGACTGTCATGCTTAAGCTGCCTGACTCGGGCGCTGTTACATTTCAGCAGGCAAGCTGTTTATTTTGCAGTCGTTCCTTTTCAGTGCATCTCAAGGTGATCTGTCAAAGATGATCTGAATAGGATTCTGATATTATACATCGCTCTACTCACCTCATGATTCTCCAGCAGGTATTTCTGCATGCTTTGGTGACACAGTTTACATCTGACCTGAAAGTGAAGGGGGGGGGGGAAGATTTAGTAGGTTGCTTAAGGGAAAATACAAAACAGATCATGGGGGAACACTTCAAAGATGTCTGGTGGCATCTCATGCCAACTCTGCTTCAGGCTAATTGCCTAGGATGGTGTCTCTATTTTCATCCCATTTGATGAAAAGCAGGTGGAGATCGTAGTTTTTGCAGCAGGGACTGAGCTATGTTATGCAAGATTTAGTGGAAAATACAATTCTGATCTGGCTGTTCAAATGCAGCATTTGGCCATTTTATTCAGGCATCGAAGCCTGAAAGTTCGCCACGCTCAATGCTAAGGACAAGAGACACAAATTTATTTAGGGTCCTAACTCCCATTGATTTCAATGGAAGTTAGGAGCCTATAGCTCTATCGATATAGGGACAGATGCTCCATTGGTGTAAGATATCATCGCTCTATTGACATCAGCGGAGTTATGATGATTTACCCTTGCTGAAGATGGCTCCAGTAGGACCTGATTCCCCGTTCTGTTACGCTAGTTTTATGCACTGAAATCAATGGCGTTACACCAGCATATAATAGGCTAACAGAGTGGAGTCAGGTCCATGTGTTCTAGGCCACAGACCCTCAGCTTGAGCATGTAAGTGCCATGTGGCTGGATGGGAGCTGTGAGCAGGGAGGGGAGGATATTTTCTGCTCTTCAGCTATAGATGTTCGTTGCTATTTGACATCCAATAGCATGGCCAGGCTAAAACGAAACATAGCTCATAACTGGGAGCTCTTGTTATTTCAGGAAATAGAGCAACTCTCACCTGCTTATGTGCGTCTTCCCGATGCTCCTCCATCTCCTTTAGAGCAATAGGTTCATCGCATTCTGGACAGATAGCGAGAAACCGCATGCAGTGGGCCTCGTGGAGAGAGAAATTGGCAGCAGACACATCTCGTTTACTGTGTGGCATGGAAGGGGGAAGGAAAGGAATGTTACTGGACCTCCTTTAACTCAACTGGCTTGTCCCTGAAAATTAGAGATGAATATTTATAGTTGTGCCCTGTTTGGCTGAGACATTTGGACTCCATTACTGAGGTTGTGCTGTTCTACTATGAACATCTTTAAAGGGGACAGGCACTGTCAGTGGATTTGGGCCCAAAATATCTGCGTCTGATTCTCCTTTCACACACGTGTGAATCAGGAATAACTCCAACTGAGTCACACAGGGGTAAAGTTGATGAGAGAGGAGAATTGGGCCCTATATTCAGATGGGGAGCTGCGAAGTTTGGAGGTGGATTCCAAGTTTGGAGGGATAGCTCAGTGGTTTGAGCATTGGCCTGCTAAACCCAGGGTTGTGAGTTCAATCTTTAAGGGAGCCCTTAGGGATCTGGGGCAAAATCAGTACTTGGTCCTGCTAGAGAAGGCAGGGGCTGGACTCAATGACCTTTGAAGGTCCCCTCCAGTTCTAGGAGATGGGATATCTCCATTAATGATCTGGAGGATGGCATGGACTGCACTCTCAGCAAGTTTGCAGATGACACTAAACTGGGAGGAGTGGTAGATACGCTGGAGGGTAGGGACAGGATACAGAGGGACCTAGACAAATTAGAGGATTGGGCCAAAAGAAACCTGATGAGGTTCAACAAGGACAAGTGCAGAATCCTGCACTTAGGACAGAAGAATCCCCTGCACTGTTACAGACTAGGGACCGAACGGCTAGGAAGCAGTTCTGCAGAAAAGGACCTAGGGGCTATAGTGGACAAGAAGCTGGATATGAGTCAACAGTGTGCCCTTGTTGCCAAGAAGGCTAATGGCATTTTGGGCTGTATAAGTAGGGGCATTGCCAGCAGATCGAGGGACGTGATCGTTCCCCTCTATTCGACATTGGTGAGGCCTCATCTGGAGTACTGTGTCCAGTTTTGGGCCCCACACTACAAGAAGGATGTGGAAAAATTGGAAAGAGTCCAGCGGAGGGCAACAAAAATGATTAGGGGGCTGGAGCACATGACTTATGAGGAGAAGCTGAGGGAACTGGGATTGTTTAGTCTGCAGAAGAGAAGAATGAGGGGGGATTTGATAGCTGCTTTCAACTACCTGAAAGGGGGTTCCAAAGAGGATGGATCTAGACTGTTCTCAGTGGTACCTGATGACAGAACAAGGAGTAATGGTCTCAAGTTGCAGTTGGGGAGGTTTAGGTTGGATATTAGGAAAAACTTTTTCACTAGGAGGGTGGTGAAGCACTGGAATGGGTTATCTAGGGAGGTGGTGGAATCTCCTTCCTTAGAGGTTTTTAAGGTCAGGCTTGACAAAGCCCTGGCTGGGATGATTTAGTTGGGAATTGGTCCTGCTTTGAGCAGGGGGTTGGACTAGATGACCTCCTGAGGTCCCTTCCAACCCTGATATTCTATGATTCTATGATCTGTTCTCAAGTTTGGAGAACATTGGTCTTCAATGGATCTAGGACAGCGTACATCAGTTGAGGATCTACTCCATAGATTTTTGGTCATGATTATGATAATTTGTTTAGGGTTCCCAAGGCTGGGAAGATAGGTATGGGTTCCTGCTAGGCCAGTGGCTCTCAACCTTTCCAGATTACTGTACCCTTGGGGTTCTCAAACTGAGAGTCGGGACCCCTCAGGGGGTCACGAGGTTATTACATGGGGGGTCGTGAGCTGTCAGCCTCCACTCCAAACCCCGCTTCACCTCCAGCATTTATAATGGTGTTAAATATATTAAAAGTGTTTTTAATTTATAAGGGGGGGTCGCACTTGGAGGCTTGCTATGTGAAAAGGGTCACCAGGACAATAGTTTGAGAACCACTGCTGTACCCCTTTCAGGAGACTATAAAAGGGTTCAAAAAATAACTAGATAAGTTCATGGAGGACAGGTCCATCAATGGCTATTAGCCAGGATGGGCAGGGATGGTGTCCCTAGCCTCTGTTTGCCAGAAGCTGGGAATGGGCGACAGGGGATGGATCACTTGATGATTCCCTGTTCTGTTCATTCCCTCTGGGGCACCTGGCATTGGCCACTGTCAGGAGACAGGATACTGGGCTAGATGGACCTTTGGTCTGATCCAGTATGGCCATTCTTATGTTCTTGGGCGTCTGATTTGTCTTGCGTACCCTCAAGTTTCACCTCTCTTAAAAACTACTTGCTTACAAAATCAGACACAAAAATACAAGAGTGTCACAGCACACTATTCTGGAAAAATTGCTGACTTTCTTATTTTTACCATATAATTAGAAAATAAATCCATTGGAATATCAATATTGTACTTACATTTCAGTGTATAGAGCAGTATAAACAAGTCAATGTCTGTATGAAATTTTAGTTTGTACTGACTTCGCTAGTGCTTTTTCTGTAGCCTACTGTAAAACTAGGCAAATATCTAGATGAGTTGATGTTCCCCCTGCAAGACCTCTGCGTACCCCTGGCTGAGAACCACTACCCTAGGCTGCCATAGTGACCCCTGCTATTAATGGGAGGATGAAGAGACTGATTAACCTGGATGGGGGAACTTTTGGGGACTTAGCCAGAGAGTTAAGTCATTTTGGTGGCGGAAAGAACCATTGGGCATGAGGGGAAACTGAGGCACTGACAGGGTTTGGAGGCACCTTGCTACAGATCCCTATTTCAGATTCCATGAAAACTAACTTTCCCTGTTGGCTGGTTATTCCATAATCAGGGAATTCCCTCAGCTTCTTTGAAGCAGTTGGTACTTGCTGTTGCCAGAGACAGATGAGTCTCTGGTCTGACCCAGTGTGGCATTTCCTGTGTTCCTAGGTGTGTGCACATAGAAGCAGAATGTGGACAGTAACCAACGGGGAAGGATCTGTCCATGATAAAGGAAAAAGTGTGTTTTTAAAATACAAAAATAGTTAAAAACTCTTGGCAGCTTGTTTGCAAAGTTTAACACAAAGCAGATAACCCTTCCAACCTCATTGCTGCTGGCTGCCTCAACAGCCTGCCCTGCCCCTGCCTTCCTCCTCACCGAGAGAGACTAAAGGGAGCTCTTTAGAGCAGTGTCAGAGGGGTAGCCGTGTTAGTCTGTATCCACAAAAACAACGAGGAGTCCGGTGGCACCTTAAAGACTAACAGATTAAGCCCAAATAAATCTGTTGGTCTTTAAGGTGCCACTGGCCTCCTCGTTGTTTTAGAGCAGTGGCTCTCAACCTTTCCAGACTGCTGTACCCCTTTCAGGAGTCTGATTTGTCTTGCTTACCCCCAAATTTCACCTCACTTAAAAACTCCTTGCTTACAAAGTCTGACCTAGAAATAAAAAACTGGCACAGTGCACTATTACTGAACATTTGCTGACTTTCTCATTTTACCATAGAATTATTAAAAAAATCCACGGGAATATAAATATCGTCCTTTTTCACTTCAGTGTATAGAATATAGAGCAGCATAAACAAGTCATTGTCTGCACGAAATTTTAGTTTGTACGGACTCTGCTAGTGCTTTTCCTGTAGTCTGTTGTAAAACTAGGCAAATATCTAGATGAGTTGATGGACCCCTGGAAGACCTCTGTGTACCCCTGGTTGAGAACCATGGGGCTAGAGCCTCTACAACCCTCAGATATAAATATCACACTGGGGAAATAAAGGATTTCTTACCAGTTCTTGCAGAACTTGCTCTCCTCCTCCATGGTTTCTCTGGGGCTGTGCCTCTCTTTCTCTTTCGTTATTTATTTGGTCGGCCTGTAGGGAGAGAAATGAAACTGAAACTGCCGGTCATACTAACCCAACCCTAAATCATGGGTCTGCCAACAAAATCTGTGAAACAGAAAGAGTGGGTGTGAGTAGGGAGGGGCAGTGTTTGGTGGTGGTGGTTTACCAAGAGCTGGGGCGAGTCCTGTCCTGGAATGGACTCAGAGCCAACAGATCCAACCTAGTCTCCAGATGCTGTGTGTTTGGGGTGGTATTTCCACCTCCTTCCTCTGTATCCCAAATTAGTTTGAATACAATAAGCCAGTGACTCTCAATCTTTCCAGACTACTGTACCTCTTTCAGGAGTCTGATTTGTCTTGCGTACCCCCAAGTTTCACCTCGCTTAAAAACGACTTGCTCACAAAATCTGACATAAAAATACAAAAGCGGCACAGCACACTGTTATTGAAAAATTGCTGACTTTCTCATTTTGACCATAGAATTATAAAATAAATCAATGCACTTGCATTCCAGTCGGCTCTCTCTGAGCTGAGGAGCGAAAACATTATCTACTATAGAGCAGTATAAACCAGTCATTGTCTGTATGAAATGTACTGACTTCGCTAATGCTTTTTCTGTAGCCTGTTGTAAAACTAGGCAAATATCTAGATGCGTTGCTGTACACCCTGGAATATCTCTGCGTACTCCCAGGGGTATACGTATCCCTGGTTGACAACCACTGCACTAAGTAATTTGCCTAGTTGCATGCAGACTTTTCTCTAGGGCTGTGAAAGCCTCTAGAGGGAGGGGGAGCTCTTCACCTGCTCAACAACAGCCCTGAGGCTGCCTATGATCAGATGGCCAGTCTGCAGAGTCAAACTTCCTTGTCGCAGGGGGACAGCACAGGGTCTGTTCCTCCACCCTCTTCCTGCCTGTTGCTGTGAATTCCTTTCCTGAGGACAAAGAAAACATGAATGGCCTTCAGCGGATTCCTTGGTCCTTGGCACACAGCCTTCCTGGTGACCACAAGAGGGCGTTAGAATGCCCTTGTTTTCCCCTTATTTTTCTCTATCCGGGCTTTGCGTGGTAGCACTATAGATCCCAGCCCTGGTCTAATGGGTCTTTCTCATCTCCTATTTAGTCCAGAACCCATGCAAGTGCAGGATACGGTCCTCTAAGAGAAGGTGCATCAGGAATTGAAATGATGTGAACCTGCCCAATGTTCATTTGCCTCGGGACAAAGACCTGACAGATGAAGCAAGATGACCAAAAGGAAAAAACTCCCAGCCTGTTTTCAAGTTGTCACTGCATGGGAAACTGGTAGAATGTTTCACACCTAGGGCATTTTCTCAAAGGTCTTAGAAGGAGCCCGGCATCCGCTGGCTGTTAAACTGACCTTGTATGACATTTTGCTTATAAACGTGCTGCAAGTTTCCCTCCATCCATAACATTTTATCCTAATGGATGGGCACAGGACTAGGAGTCAGGAGACTTGGCTCTAGTTGTGTCGTAGAGGAGCCCTAGTTTAAGTGAGTTTGTGTGGGGGAGAAAGTAGACAGAGCATCATAAAATAAAAAGCAGATAATCTAACACACCCCAGGTTAATCTTGCGATGAATCTCACTCAGTGGGCTTCAGGCTGCCTTGTTACTAGTGTGGAAGATTACTTACAGCTCGGCGCTGGTAGGTAGCTTAGAAAGGTTTCCTCCACCTCACCGATCCCCCATGGTGTCTGTATCTCCTCCAAGCCACATCCTCCTTTGTTAGTACAGCTCACTGGTCTCTGACCATGTGACAATGTCCATTGTTATCTCAGCCAATCAGAAAGAGCCCTATGGCCCGGTTTCCAAGTTCAGTTTCCCATTAGCATTTGGGCCTTGCATCAGGCCACGGGTCTGAATCCCTTTGGGGTGACTTTGCTTTCATTCATTTTCCCCTTGTCTGTCCAGAGAACTATCAATGGGAAAAAATGTGCATGTGGATGCAGGGTGCTTCTCCCCATTGAAAGATGGTTGGTACCCGTGGCACTTCCTAGTGCTCATAGAGCACTATTTATCAGTACCTCGCAAACCACTTCATAAAGAGAGATCATTATCCCCTTTGTACATACACAGGGGGCCCAGCAAAGTCACCCAGCAGGCCAGGGGCAGAGCTGGAAATAGAGCCCAGGTTTCTCAAGTCCCAGTCCAGTGCCACTAAACACAGTGCCTCACTGTGGAGACAAGTCCTGAGTTTTGTGAGCATAACACGTCCAGATCACTCTTGGGCTGGGCTTTTTGTTTTGCCTAATAACCCTCAATCCATTTCAGGAGAACTTTTTTGGTATGAAGAAAGGCAAATCTTTAATCTGCGGGCCTTACACCTCCCCTTTGCCCCAGTACAAATATTGTGATGGTTGGGATCAGTGGGGCACTTGAACTTGCAAACGCACTAGATTTAAAGGGCAGGGGTCACAACAGGACATTTTCAGTGACTGGTTCTTGACTGTGGAATTCACTCTCTCCCATTGGTCCAACACAGTTGGGATCTGTTGATGTTTCCAGTCAAACTACAAGTCGTCTTTTTGTTGTGTAGTGAGCTGACTGGGATATAGGTGGTTGTGGAAGAAGGCTTGTTTGTGTGTTGTGCTGGGATATTTCTTTTTGGTTGCTGATCCACATGAAATTTGGACCAAGTGTAAATCATTATAAGGCTCTAGATTTCTAGAGATGCACTTCTAATGAATCACAGGGAATAAGCTAGGGGGAAGAGTAGTAGAATTCTGTTCCATTGCATCCCTTCCCCATTTCAATCCTGGTAGAATTCTTTTCCTTAGGACTTCCTGGTGGACAACCTATGTCCTGACGACGAAAAGCCTGTATCAGTGAATGGAAACATGAGATTACTGCGGCACTAATAATGGAAACAAATTGTCACACTTTACATTGAGGTTCCATTTATAAATGGTTTATAAAGAGTTAGTAGGTGTTATAAGTATGTTACGGACACAACAATATGTTAGAGATCGTAATAAGCGCATCAGAGGAGAGTGATATAGATGTTTATAAGCTATCTATTGACTTATTGGATTCTGTAAGACTCTATAGCAATTGATTAGCCATCTATTAAAAATATATTAGTTAACCTTTATAAATGGGATCTTAATATATAGTGACTCAAAAATATTAGCTGCAAAGGATTATAATTCATATTTATTATTTACTGTAATGCCCATGATCTGCTAGGTGCTTTCCAGACATATAAAACACTCAGAGGGGCTCAGTCTAAGGATGGACAGTTGGACAGGTAGATAGACATCAAGGAAGGAGATTTTCTGGGCAAAGCAACAAGATTTGCTATAATCTGGATTTCTGCTCTTGTACCTGGGCAGCCTAGAGCAGAATTTCTCAACCCGTGGGTCAGGACCCAAAACTGGATCTCCAGAATGTTTCAAAGGGTCGCATAGCAGCTCCTGTTCCACGGGGCTAGCTGGGCTCGCCTCTCTGCTCCAAGCACTGCAACTTCTGGGGTCCCAGCGCCACTCAGGTTTAACCCAGCTGTCATGATGATGGGAGGCCGGGTAGGCCAAATTTGAGTGAGTGGCCCTGCAATCCTATGAGCCAGGTCACAACTCTACTCTCATGAATTTGGTCCAGTCAGGGGGGCAGAGCCAAAACTGAATGACACTGCAACCCTGGAGGTTGTAACACCTGGAGTGGAGAGCCACGCCAAGCCAGCCCCACAGCACAGGAGCTGCAGGAGTCATTCAGCCCGGGACCGGGACTTGGACTCTGCATTTCGGGACTGTCCCACTCAATTCAGGACAGATGGTCACCCTATTTCACATGTGCTTAACTTTACTCATCAATTAGGCCCATGCAAATCAACACTTATGAAAATTACGTCCTAAGGTTCAGATTCTTCATTGCTTTGCCCTGTGTCATTTGCACCCGTGCAAAGCGAATGACTTTGCACTCCTTTTGCAGGGGCTACAAGGTGCAGGACCATGGTGAACCAGGCCCCTAGTGTCTCAAGTTGAGTACTCAAAATCACTGAACACTTTGAAAATGTTGAGCCTTTGCCTCTGTCTGTAATATGGGATAATGTTCATTCCTCTACTGGGGGGTTGGGAAGAATCCTTAGTTAATGTTTGCAGAGCGTCTCCAGAATGCCCCACATGGGCTAAGTGTTGTTATTAAATCAGAGTTCATTTCGCTCTGGTTAATTTTCTGCCTATACCAAAAAACAAAACAAAACAAAAAAATCCACTACTGCCCAGACGTGGAAATAATTAATGTTTATTGGATAAACACAAATTATGTAACACAGCAGAGAAAAGGCTTTTGAAAAAATATGTAAATGAGATGGCAACCATCAGGAAGTAATGGAAGGACAGGCAGACTACAATGTTGCCAATTATAATGAAAAAAAATTTTTTTTCAGTCTTTACTCTGTACAGTATTTGAAACTCTCCTCGGGGTTTGACTAAACTGTACTGGAAGTACCAACTGTGGCTCAAAAGTCTGGCCAGCAAGGGACGGTGACCGAGAGGTTCATAATGAAGGCTTTTATGTAGAAAGTTATTGGGCACAGGGATTGTACCGAAAGAACTTTAAGTTCAGAGTTACAAAAGCTCTTCTTGGAAAAATATCAGATGCTGCGTTAGGAACCCAGTCAAAAGATATTCCTAAAGGAACACTGTGGACTGGCAGAGGCTACAAAAAGTACTTAGTGTGGCAGGGGAGGGGAGGAGAAACAGAAGGTAATGAACAGTGATGTCCCCTGAATGAAGTAATAACTCTTTCAGTTTTAAGGCTTGTGTGTAAACCTTCTAGTGCATAACGTAATCGTACAAGACATGTTTTAGGCGTCTGATCAAATTAAGCATCATACAGAGAGGTAAGTTCTGAACCAGTTGTTTTTTCAGTGTCAAAAGACAGGGTAGTAGAAGTTTTCTGCTAAAACCTAGTACATTTAAGCATCAGATTTCCCTCCCCTCCCCCCCCGCCCAAGTATCAGAG